CTCTTTGGGGCTGTGAGAGGCAATGCACAGACCTGGCTAGGAGAGTTGGGCCTCATTCACACCGCTAACTGTCGGCCCGTACAGATCTATGTTGGGCCGTTCCCAGGAAGGACAAGTGCTGTGTGTGACTGTACGCAGCAGCCTGTCCTCTATGGGAGTACGTGGCCATATGCTCACCCGAACTGCACATCTGTGCGGGTGTCCGTGCTCGGACGCAGATAGGATCCATCCTGTCTGTGTCCGAGTACGGACACCCGCTCGGGTGGGCGTACGGGCGCGTATTCCCATAGAGGACAGGCTGCTGCGTACAGTCACACGAAGCACCCGTCCTTGCCGGGAACGGCCGGATACGGCTGTGCACGCCACACGGATCTGGACAGGCTGATAGCTGTGTGAATGAGGCCTAAGGCTTGCCATACAAACACCAGAGAATGAAGGGTTAGGTTGTGTCAGGACAAGGGGGACAAAAAGGATAAGTGCACGTTGTCTTAAAGGGTACTTACTCTTTCAGTCAAGCTTCAAGTTGATTTTAAGAGATAGACAATATAGTAGAAGTAAGAAAATTAATCTGATATAATATAAGGTCATCTAATCTATGGTAGAATACCAGGGGGGAGGACGGGGGGGCGCCTGCTCTTCATTGCATTGGGACTGTGTAAGGATGAAAGGAGTACAGAGGAGAGTCCACAGACAGCTGGGGACGGGGGAGGTTGAGGTGTAAGTTAACAAAACTCATTATCTGCATGGCATATCGCGGTAACATTCCTTCATTCTGAGTCACATCTTTGGAATGTCGACAAACACTGCTGGACCCACATGTATGTGACAGAGACCCGGGCATATTGTGTAAAATGCCCGGTGTGTAAAAATGCATAGTGTGTAAAACGAGCATAGCTGAAGATATTTTAAATTCTGTATATTCCTCCTACCATTCAACAGTCTCATTCCAGTGCCTGTTTCTCAAATCTCATATAAGCTTGACCATGTAACTCCAAAAGTTGTCAGCTGGCAATTTTCGTTTAGACCCCATGCACATGGGCCTCCTGGGTTAAACAAGGGAGATGTTATCTGGGACGTATAAACCACTTTAATGCTTCCCAGGTCACTTTTTTGTTCCTGTATTTGGATGATCTTGGGTTTAGCTGTGTTTTTTAGAAAAAAAAAATTCTGCATTCACATGTGTTTAGCTACATGAAACCAGGCTAAATGGTCCCATGATGCCTACACCTAGGTGCTGCCAAACATCAAGGTGTGTATATTCAGCCATAGCAAACCATTGCATACCTCCTATAGTACATGGGGCATAACATTATCCTCAGAGATGCTGTCGTGAAGGTTTTAGTTTGGGCACTTCCTGGTATGGAATGGCAACCGTATCCTAATTTTATGTTTTTTTTTATTTGTTTTACAATAAAATATTTACTATCATCCAGTTCATTAATGGGGAGAAGTCTATAGTGAGTGCTAATACCTATTCAGAAATTCATGAATGAACGGGAAGTGATGTAAAGCACTTCCTGTTTGTTTATAACTGGTGACACATAGCACTATGGGTCCCCAGTTATTTACAAACATTGGCGTGATCAGCCGATCACTCCAGTGTTTGCTCTGCACACAGAGGATCGGTACATATCACAGATATTGACCAATCTTGCTGCTCTGCCATCCTAAGCGCCCGGCAACTCGCAGATGACGGGAGTCGCCAGCCATCTTTGGTCATCTTTGGCTGGCGACTCTGCGTACAGTCACACGAAGCACCTGTCCTTTTGGGAACGGCCCGATACTCTTCTCATCCCCCTTACCCCAAAACTCATGAGCCAAAATCATCTCAGCCCCGTGGCCATTTCTCCTCGGATTTCCTCTGCCTCAGCCCATACAAGCAGGGGGGGAGCAGTGGCAGTTGTGTTCCGCCGTAAGCCTTAAGTCGGTGGCAGCAAAAGGCTTAAACTTGACTTGTACAACTCTGGCATATTAAATATTTTATAAGGATTACATTTTTATATTTTCAGACAGAACATAATACATTTACAGAGCTCAATAGCTCAAGTGGAAATGTGTAGTCACATAAGCTAAATGAGTCAGAGAAGTGACTCTTCTTGTCCTAAGGAAGACAAATACAAAAGTGTTCTGCTGTGCTCCCTTTGAAAGAATAATTTGGCATTTAGGCTTCAGAGTATTCCACTCCCCCCATCCCCCCCCCGGCTGGAAAACAAATGTTGAAAATCTTCCCACTGGAGCAGTTTTGCCCCCCCTCCTCTCTATATACATTGCCCCCCCTCCTCTCTTTATACATTGCCCCCTCTCTATATACATTAGCCCCCCCTCTGAGAGGGTCCCCGCCCACTCCG